TTGTTGTTGTTTTTTGGGGGTTTTTTTGGTGTTTTTTTTTTTTAATGCACTGTGGAATGATTCGTTCAGAATTTAAGCCCGAGCTGCTCCGGTCCCTGTGGGACGCTGAGAATTCAGGAATGGAGTAAAAACCAGAGGGAATAAAGGGATCAGTAAGGTTTGACAGGAAGGTGCATCTCTTCCTCCTCTTGTTTAGCCTCCTTTGGGGGATTTCTTGGGTTTCTGTGCTTCCCCGCCCAGCACCCAGAATTCCCCCTCTTCCCTGCACATTCCCGCCCTCTTCCCAAGCTTCCGAAGCAGCTGGGAAGAGCTGGGATTGCCCCTAATCAGCTTAGCTCCGAACACAGATGGCATCACCCCAACCCGCCGGGATTTCCACCGGGCATCCCTCCCTCTTCCTCGTGTTTGGAGGGCTGAACGCCCTCCCAGCCACGACACGGTGGGATTTCACACCGAGTTCTTGATGGAAAATTGAGGAATCCGGGATAAATATAGCAAACATCCCTGTATTCTGAAAGCAGTTAAAATTTACAGTCCTCCAATACCATTGTTTCACTTGTAGCTTTTTCTTTTCCACAGCTGAAATAACATTTTAAATAGAATATGGAACTGGCTTATATAAAATAGCCTTCTGGGGTTCTTTTTATCCATTTCAAAGAACCAGGTATTRACATTCTTCTATGAATATAATGTTATATTCATTATATGGATAATGTTTTATCCCACAGGTAATTCGTGGAAGGTCCAGTTAAACTAGGCAGTTTGTACCTGTCTGTGTTTACCCTGACAAATCCCTCCCTCCGTCTCATACTGGGGAGCCCAGTTTAATTCCACCCCATTTCTTGAGGCTCAGCTCCCCTCTGATTCCCAGTGCAAAATACCCATGCAAAAGGAATTTTTTCCTTACCTCTGGCTGCAAAAATTACAACTTCAATCTACAACAGCCTGTACAGTCAGGGTGGARAAGAAGTTTCAATAATCCAAGCCAGTCCAGCCTAATTGATCACCCCGAGGGATAAAACTTGTTGCGAGGGGATCTCGGTATTGTGGCTAATTCTGACATCTGTGATCATTAATTACCTGCACTCATCATTTAAAGAAAGAAGGGGCGCACTAATCCTTCCCAAGACCGAGCTCAGAAAATTGTATTTATTAACCGAGGGCTATTTTAGAAACAGATGGGGTGTAAAGAGCTTGAAGGTGGGGAGCAGGGGGGTGTGGAGAGGGAGAGATTAATTGTTAAGTAGTTGAGTGTTGAGCACAGAACAACAGATATTCAGGGATCTGGGATTCCAGTGGGACAGACCTGAGTTTAACATTGGAGTATTTCCAAAAACTCGTTTGGAAWACCCAAGAGTCACACGGGATCTCTTCAGCTGTCCCTGGCTCTCTGGATTCCTGCTTTTCTCTCTTGCTGGCACCGGCACCTGCTGGAGCAGCAACATTATCCCAGAGCCCTCAGATGTCCCAGTTCCAGCAAAATGACAAAAATCTCTGGATTTTCCTGGACTCGAGCGAAAACACAGCAAAATCTGTTACAAACCATTCAACCATTGCTGTTCTGACCGTATCAAACACTCTGCCTTGAATTTGTGTCCTACAAAGATCATTAACGCCGTGGCTGCGAGCTGTTAGTCCTTAGCCTGTCTTTGTAAGGCTCCCGTGAATATTTAAAGRGCTAATCTTTGGTTAGGCTTAAACACCGCGCCGATGTTCACGAGCAGGCACTGGATAGCACTGAAAGGGATTTTTTTTTTGTTGTTGTTGGTCTTTATTAACAATTAGGGCTGGTTATCACTGAAAGGGTATTTTTTTTTGTTGGCTTTTGTTAACGATTAGGGATGGTTATCACTGAAAAGGATTTTTTTTTGTTGGCTTTTATTAAAGATTAGGGATGGTTATCACTGAAAGRGATTTTTTTGTTGGCTTTTGTTAACGATTAGGGATGGTTATCACTGAAAGAGGTTTTTTTTTGGTTGGTTTTGGAATCCTCACCTGGTGAAAACTGAGAGCAGGGAACAGGTAAATAAAGGGAAATAGGATAGTGGTGTTAATGAATAAGCTCTGCAGGGCACAGGGGAYGGGCTGGCACCTCTCTTGTGGCTCCATCAGATGGGCAGGGTGCAAATCCTGGGTCAAACTGGAAACCTGAGCGAAACCTGACACTGGTACCCTGAGGAGGGGTTTAAGGACCTAAAATCTTTAAGAACACGAAGAAGGTGTTTAAAAACCTGAAATCTTTAAGCACACGAAGGAGCTGTTTAAAAATCCGAAATCTTTAAGCACCCAAAGGCGCTGTTTAAGGACAGTCCACTCCAGGGAGCCTGAGGAGGAGGTGCCACGGGGARCTCCAGAGGGACCCTCCTGTCCCAGCCCATCCAGAGCAAAGCTGAGCTCATGGGGCCTCAAGGGCTTCTCGAGGGTGCAGCCAAACACAGGATTGATTTATGGAGTCATGGAATATCCCCACCTGGAAGGGACACACAAGTATCACAGTGCAGCTCCTGCCCTGCACAGACACCCCAACAATCCTAGGAAAGTTCCTGAGATGGGAGCACTGTCCATATTCATAGAAATGTCACCGCCYGGCTTCAGTTCTTCTGTCCTTCACTCACACCCAGTTCCACAAAATTCCCACCACTCCTGTGAATGTTGCTTTGCTGTTCATTCCCACTGTGAAATCCTGAGCTGAGCCTTGTCCTTCCAGCTGGGTCCTGTCCATGGAAACATCAGAGTTTTGGGATGGGCTCTGCCTCACAGCTGAGAGTTCTGTAAGAGGGGACCTGTGTCACACCCAGGGACACAGGGAGGAGGTGGAGCTGCTGGAGAGAGCCCAGAGGAGGCAGCAGGATGGTCAGAGGGATGGAGCAGCTGCGCTGGGAGGAAAGGCTGGGAGAGCTGGGATTGTTCAGCCTGGACAGGAGAAGCTTTGGGCTGAGCTCAGTGTGGCCTTGCAGGGCCTGAAGGAGCCCACAGGAACCATGGAGAGAGACAATTTCAAGGGCTGCAGGGACAGGACAAGGGGGATTGACCTCAAAGTGAAAAATTAGAGGTTTAGATCAGATATTAGGAAAAAATTCCTCCCTGGGAGGGTGGGCAGGCCCTGGCACAGGGTGCCCAGAGAAGCTGTGGCTGCCCCTGGATCCCTTTGAGTGYCCAAGGCCAGGCTGGACATTGGGGCTGGGAGCAGCCTGGGACAGTGGGAGGTGTCCCTGCCCATGGATCTGGGTGATCTTTGATGTCTATTCCAACCCAAACCATTTCAGAATTCTCTGCTATGTCCAACCTTCAAGCCAAGAGTTAAGAACCTTTCAGCAAATGTGAGGATGAATAAACCAATATTATCTCCGCAGAGATGGCAGAGTTGTGTCATTCTACTGATATCAAACYCCGTAAGAGATAAGGAAATAATTGCTCAGGATAGCTCCACCTGCAAGACCTCGATTGTCAGCTTCTGAGCCCCTGTTCCTAAATCTTCATGACCCTCTGTGCCTAAATCTTCCCGAGTCTCTGTTCCTAAATCTTCCAGGAACGTTCCTTCTGAGCACAGCTGCCTCCATTCCTTTGTCCCACTTTCAATGCACCTCCAGGAGAGCATCAAAGAGCTGCGGGATTGTTCAATTATTTGTGTGTTTATTTTCTATCGGAGTGTTTGGCCAGCTGGAATGATTTATTCTGTAGGATTTTCCTGCTCCTGTTGGCTGCACCTTCTCCCTCCACACCCATTCCAAACCCCTGTGTTCTGTCCCTGCTCTGTCCCCTCTCAAATATAAAGATTTGGTTTATACACAATATATAAAGCTGTTTAACTGCGATTTTTAAGCAAGGATACCTCACTCCTGTCATTCAGTTCTGCCTCCACTACACCTAGAAAATCAGGATTAATTTTGTTACCCCAAGGAAAACTTTTTGCTTCTTTCACAGCAGCTGCCCGCTCGGGCTCGGCACAGAGCGTGGAGTTTCTCACCCCATTTAAATGCAAACTCGCAGAGGATCCTCGCACAAGAATGCAAACCGCTTTAAAGCATGCAGATCTAGGTGTTTAAACACAGAGTGTTTTGTTGCTCCTTGTAACAACTTTTGCGAGCTCATAAGGACACATTTCCCTTCCTGACAATGTCCGGAGCAGCCCGAATGCGGTTCATTCGTGTTTTAACAAACCGTGCGAGACCATGAAGCTGTGCCAGTTCCAGTTTATCCACAGCGGGATGTAGAGGGAGCCTTCCTACACCTGGATTTGGAAAATGGCACCTGAGGCCAGCAAAGCCCAGCCGCACCTGCCCGCAGGTGTGTGCCAGGCTGGAGCTGGGGACAGCGGTGCCAGGGACACCGCTGGGGCTGGGACCGAGGGGCACAGCGGGATAGGAACGGGCGAGGGGGCTTGGGGTGCGAGGGGAGCCGCGGGCGGGTGCGGGGCCGCTGTAGGGAGCACAAACACACAGAGAGGAGACTTTTGACCGCTCTGCAAAGGCTCCGGTCCCTGCGGAGCGGGTGTGGCCGGGGGCAGCGCTCGGAGCCACCGGGGTCACTCTGTTGGCTCCAAAGCGTGGCTGGGCAGGGGCTCTGCCCGGGGAGCGGCGGTGGGACTGGACAGGGGCTGCGGGACGGGGCGGGGGCTGTGCCCGGAACAGGGGCTCTGGGGAGCCGGGGAGGCTCTGGAGGAGGAGCGCGGCCCCGGCCCCGCCGCCCCCGGGCCCCGCGCAGGCACCGCCTCCGCCCCCCCGGCCGTGGCCGGCGCTGCTCCGCGGCCGCTCCGCTGCTCCCGGCTCGTCCCGCGCGTCCCGGCGGTCCCGGGCAGCCCGGCATGGCGGAGAGCCCGGGGCGGCCCCCGGAGCCCAGCGATGTCCCGCGGGAGGGAGGCGAGGATGAGGCGGCGGCGGGGGCTCAGCCCGGGTTGTGCCCCGAGGGGGCGGCCGAGCCCCCGGACGGGCCCGCGGAGGGACCGCGGCTGAGCGCGGAGGCGGCGGAGACCCCCGGGGAGAGCCCGGCGGCACCGAGCGGGGACGGCCCGGGGGGCGAGGGGCAGCCGGGCGGGGAGCCGGGGGCCGCGGGGGTGATGGACGAGCCCCAGGGCTCCGCGGCGGCCAGGACAGAGCCCGAGGGACAGGCGGCGGCACCGGCGGGGACGGAGCCTGAAGGGGCAGCCCCGGAGGGGACGGAGCCCGAGGACACGGCTGTGACCCCGGCGGGGACGGAGCACGGAGCGGCAGCGACAGAGCCCGAGGTGGCCGCTGGGGACCCGGCGGGGACAGAGCCCGAGGACGCGGTGGTGGCTCCCGCGGGGACAGAGCCCGAGGACGCGGTGGTGGCCCCGGCGGGGACAGAGCCCGAGGACGCGGTGGCGGCCCCGGCGGGGACGGAGCCCCAGGAGGCTGTGAGGGAGGAAGCCCCGACGGAGGGAGAGCCCGAGACAATCCCGTCAGAACCAGAGCCTGAGGAGGCTGCGGCGACAGCCCCGTCCGGGAGAGACAACGGAGAGCAAGAGGCAACAGCCCCGGAGGTGACAGAGCCCAGAGAAGCAGAGGCGACAGTCCCGGAGGTGACAGAGCCCGGAGAGGCGCTAACGCAGGCGGTCGCAGGGGGAGCGGAGCCCGAGGAGGCTGTCGCGACAGCCCCGTCCGGGACAGATCCTGAGCCTGGGGTGCAGGAGGGAGCCCCGGCGGGGACAGAGCCCGAAGAGGCTGCAGTGACAGCCCCGGCGGGGACAGAGCCCGAGAAGGCGGTGGGGACAGAGCCCGAGGATGAGGCGGGGGAGGCAGCTCCAGGGGGGACAGAGCCTGAGGAAGAGTCGGGGACAGCCCCGGCGGGGACAGAAACCGAGGGGGAGATGGGGGAGGCAGCCCCGACGGGGACAGACCCTGAGGAGGCTGCAGCGACAGCCCCGACGGGGACAGAGCCCGAGGAGCTGGTGGGGACAGAGCCCGAGGCTGAGGGGAGGGAGGCAGCTCCAGCTGGGGCTGTCACCGAGAATGCCGTGCAGGAGGCAGCCCCGGTTGCTGTGACAGTCCCCGAAGAGGCGTTGGGGACAGYCCCTAAGGATGAGGTGCAGGAGGCAGCCCCGGCTGTGACAGTCCCCGAGGAGGCGTTAGGGACAATCTCTAAGGATGAGCTGCAGGAAGCAGCTCCGGCTGGGACAGTTCCTGAGGAGGGGGCGGCCCCGGCGGGGACAGTCACCAAGGGTGAGGTGCAGGAGACAGCTCAGGAAGGGACAATCCCTGAGGAGACGCTGGGGACAGTCCCCGGGGATGCTGCGCAKGAGGCAGCTCCGGCTGGTGCGACTGTCCCCGAGGAGGCGTTGGGGACAATCCCTAAGGATGAGGTGCAGGAAGCGGCCCCGGCTGGTGTGACAGTCCCCAAGGATGAGGTGCAAGCGGCAGCTCCGACAGGGACAGTCCCTGAAGGGGCGTTGGGGACAATCCCTAAGGATGAGGTGCAGGAGGCAGCCACGGCTGGTGAGACAGTCCCGGAGGATGAGGCGCGGGAGGAAGCTCCGGCGGGGACAATCCCCGAGAATGCGGTGCAGGRGGGAGCCCCGGTTGCTGTGAGAGTTCCCGAGGAGGCATCGGGGACAGTCCCTAARGATRAGGTGCGGGAGGCAGTCCCGSTTAGTCCSACAGTCCCGGAGGATGCGGTGCGGGAGGAAACCCCAGCTGTGACAGTCCCCGAAGAGGCGTTGGGAACCGTCCCTAAGGCTGAGGAGCAGGAGGAAGTCCCGGCAGGGACAGTCCCCGAGGATGAGGTGCAGGAGGCGTTGGGGACTGTCCCCAAGGACGAGGTGCAGGAGCCAGCCCCGGTTAGTGTGACAATCCCCGAGGATGAGGTGCAGGAGCCAGCCCCGGCAGGGACAGTCCCCGAGGATGCATTGGGGACAATCCCCGCGGAGGCGTTGGGGACAGTCCCCGTGGAGGCGCTGGGGACAGTCCCCGCGGAGGCCGCCGAGAGCCGCGGGCCAGCGCAGGTGGCGTTGCTCGCCCAAGCCGAGCCCGGTGCGGGTCCCCGGTCCCCGGGCGGCCCCGGTGGCGAGGACGCGGCGGAGGCGGAGCGGGGACCCGCAGTCCCGGCGGCGACAGGAGCCCCGGGGACAGGCGACAGCGGCTCCCCGGGCCCCGAGAGCGGGCGGGACGCGGCGGATCGGAGCCTGAACGGGGAGCGGGGCCAGCAGGACGGGACGGGCTCGCCGGGCGCCCTGGAGGAGGAGGATGAGAAGCAGGAGCACGACATCTCCCTSTTCGTCAAGGTAGGGGTGAGGGGCTGCTGGGGAATCTCAGTTGGGAATCTCCTCTTGCAGGAGCTGCGGGGAATTTAAACCTGACAGGCCAAGGGCCAGCCGGCCTAAGGTGATTTGGTTATTAATGCCCGATATAAACTTGCCCCTGGCTCCTCATTCCTTCAGGAATTGCTGGCATTAAGAATTCTCCGTGGATTTCCAGATTTCCAAAATGCAGGGATGGGATTTCTCAGCTCGGGGGCTGAGAGGGAAGAACCTGAGAAATGTAATTTCAAATGTGAAAGTGGGATTTTCTAACACGAATTACAGGTGACATTTAGAGAATTATCCCAAATTTTGGCAAGGCTGAATTCAGAGTCGGCAAAGAGCATCCCTTGTAATTGTCCAGTTTGTGTTTGTTTGGGTAGGGAAAATTTGAGTTAGAGGGAAATGGGAGAAAAGAAAAAAAGAAATTTAAAACTCATTTCTGGTATTTTATTGAGTAGAGCTTTGGACCTTTGTGTCCCTGGAATGCCACCAAAATCCCTGGGGTGTGGTATGGGAACAGCAGCCATCCACAGAGTCTTTATCAGATTTTTCTGGGAATTTTCTGGAAATTTTCTGTGTGGAGAAAGCACCTGCAGGTGGTTTCTTTCCTCTTCCCTGACCCCCCTGGACTAAAACGTGGAGCAGGGTGGGACAAACACAAAGCCAAGGAAATAAAACTTGAGAAGTAGAAGGAATTTGAGATCTTCTCCTCCACAAACCATCCCAYCCTGTACCCCCAGAGCTGGCTGAGGCTGCTTCTGCTGGCCAGAATTCACCTTAAAATTGAAATTAAAACTTGGTGCCTTCTATTTTATGGAAGGAAAACATGGCCAAGGTGAGAGAGCAGCCTTMGTGAGAATAAGAGCATTTCTTGTGACTCTGTGGTGCCCAAATATTAAGATTAAGCATGGGATTTGGAAATATTTGTGGATTAATACAGGCAGAAGGAGGAGGAAGGRGAGTTTTTGTGTTAGGCTTAATAAAGAATGCCTGGAAAATAATCCAGTTGCTTTTCTAATTATTTCTGTATTACAAAGCTTGAATATTTTACCTCAYCTGGAGGTGACTTTTTGTAGTTGGCATTGGATTAGGTTTTAGTTCAAGACTGGCATCAGTTTCTCCAGGAAAAGGAAGGGGAAAAAAAAGGAAGAAAAAGGTAAATGGAGAGCTCAGCACCTTYCCAGGCACCAAAAGGAGCTGGCAAAGGTGGAGAAGTGGGACAGTCCCTGCAGCAGGAAAAGACTGTGAAAATGGGGATCCTGGCAATTCTGGGATGGAATTCTGAGGCAGGTTTTGAGAGCACACCCCAATCTGTGCTTTAATTGCTGTTTCGCTGGGAAAAAGGGGAGCAAATTCCAGCTTGGGGCAGTGCGAGCTCTGGGATTGGAGATTATTGAGAATTTCCTGCCCCGTGCAGCAGGGGATTCCTTAGGAATGCATCACCCATCAGCTCCCTGACCCCCTTCCCACTCCTGTTTCAAATTTTCTTACTTTCAAACCCTTCTGTAACCTCTCTGGGAACCAGGGAGTGATTGGGCTCTTTGAAATATTGGGATTATTGCTCCTGATTCCTGTACCTATTCCTGCGTGTTCCACCTGCCTGCTGGGGGTTCCAGGATCCAGGTTCACCCCTGGATTTGGAAATATTTTGATTATTCTGCCTGATTGATGTCTGTGTCTGCGTCCACAGAGCTGGGATGGGAGGGTTTGATAGCACCATACAGAGATATGTGAAAATAAATCCCAAAACAGGAGAAAATGCACAAGAAAACAACACAGGAATAGTCRTGGCAGTTTCCCTGCTTGGGAATTTTATCCCAGACCAAGCCAACATTACAATTTCAGTGTTTTAATGTTTTAAGAAGCATCAGACTCAGGAAGAGCCCCCTGGAAGAACAAAACAATCTCAGAACATCCTTGAGGCTTTCACTGGGTGCTGATTTCCATTTTCCCGTGCAACAATACCATTTATTCTCTTGAGGAAACAATACCCTTTATTCCAATGATAATAAGGATATTGTTCTTTATTCCAACGATAAGGATATTATTTTCAGGGTGTTTCAAAGTGTTTTCAAAGTGTTTCAAAGTTATTTTCAAGTGTTCCCAAGGGTCACCCAGATACCCTTTTCCTTTGGGAATGCAGCTCAGTGTCCTGGCATCTTTGGTTCTTCAAGGGCTTCTTTCCSTCTCAGTAGCAAAAGTCCTTTATTGATCAGAGAACTTCTGTAAATGTCAATTATTTTTTACCATTTGAATAGATTTGAACTCTCACCRAAGTTTAATTAACTCTTGCTCCTTTAATTTTAATCAATAGAACATTTATCTAGGACTTAAGAGTTTATTTCTAAATTGAAATTGTTTTCTAATTATTTCTACAGAGAAACCTCAATAGGATCACTACTGCAGATTTCAGAATTCCATGGATTTTTAGGGATTTCTCTGTACCACAAACAGTTGGTCAAATAACACAGCTGGAGGTCAAGGCCTTCCTCATCTCCCAAAACATTTCTTCCTTAATTTCAGGGTTAAATGGATTTTAGTCAAAGCTGGCCATGAGCACAAGGTAATAGATTTTATCCAAGGAAAAGCAGTGGGAATTTTTCACTTTGGTGACATTCCTGGTCTCTAAATCATTTATTTCCACTCAGAGAGGGATTCCATTCCTTCTAGACACCGAGGWTATTTGTCTGAAGCAGAATTTCCTTGCAACATTCCTGGGATGTCCTTGCCTGACTTTACACTGAGCTGTGCAGAATTATAAAAATAAATAAAAAAGGAARATCTTTGCTGGGAGCACAGGCATGGGGACAACAGCGGCATCCCTGCCTCTGGAGTTTGTGTATCCACCTTAAAGGGGATCATTTTCCTACAGAAAAACCCCAAATCTTCTTTTCCCTGATGTGAGGACTCTGKGCCTTAGGTTGTGAAGTTCCAGCTGAAATTTTTTCTGTGAGCAGTCACAGCAGCTCCACAGCCTGGGCTCTGCCCTGTGCTCCTCACTCCCTGTTTTTGTCCTTCCTGAGCTCATTTCATGGAGTTTCTTCAGGAGCTTTCCTCAGGTGCTATGAAAATCCTGTCATTTATTTATCAGTCCTTTCCCTCCACTGTTCCTTGGGATGTTTTCGTTCCCATTGTCAGTGAGAACTTTCTGCTTTTGCAATTGAGGATTTATGAAAGCTCTRRGCTGGGGACAAGGTGGGCATTGGGCACAGCTGGCACTCCATGGGCTGGGAGGGCTTTTCCATCTCAGAGATTTTGGAATTCTGTGAAAATCATCGCAAAAGAAGGAGCATTTAATCCAGGAGAAAGGCCCTGCCCTGGAGCAGCACAGGAGCMCCCCTGAGGCTGGATGTGCCCACCCCRGGCTCCAGCCYGGAATTCTGAAATCTCCACTTGTGATCCTATTGAGTTTTCTCTGGAGAAATAATCAGGAAACAATTTCAATTTCAGCTGCCCAGGACTGAGCCCTGTGGGGCTGCCCAGTCACACCAGTCCAGCCCCAGTGCCCCCGASCTGCTCCTTTGCTGTGCRGGGATTTGGGTTCTTTGGCTGCCCCAAAACACCAGAGCTGTGTCTGTTCAAAGCCAGAGCAGGAAATTGGCTCCTTTCCCGTGGGGATTTGCCCTCTCACAGCTCCTTGTGATTTTTTTTTTTTTTCTCAGCTGGAATATGGGAATTTCAGGTTCTTTAATGCAGCTTARGAGGAATTGGCATTATAAATTCCTTTCATGGCTCTCCAGGTGCTTGTGTGTGCTGGGGGCAGCAGCTTTTCGGGGGGTTGGAATGAGACAGGATTT